TGTATAAGTGTGTGTATGGGGGGTCATACCCATATAGTTCAATCTCATATATTTATACCAGTATACGTGTTTTCAGTTACTAGGAATGTTCGTATATATACGTGTATAAGCTTATGCATGTGCACATTATTTCAAGTGAATATTCTATTGTTGACTATATTTAAATCTGGGAAGTATTGTTTCTGTGTTGCTATGTGGAAGCATTTCTGTGTGTGCATGTGCACATACTCATGCGGTGACACATATAGTTGTATGTATATATACATATATATATAAGCAGTTTAGACACATTCTTGTACTTTTTTTTTGTAAACTAGTAAACACACAAAAAAACCATCGGTAAGGAGTAAAGCATCACATGAATGTGTATGCGAATACGTATACACTCGTAGACACCGAGAAAACACACTGCGACATACGCATGTATTCAACTTTGTAAAATAGATGTATCTATCGTACTTGTAATATCTGAAGAACAACCAACAGACCTACGTTTATGTGCATCTGTATGCGCCTACAACTGAGAATGTACACTAGGAATCCATGCCAACCATAGACGTCCACACAGCAATGTACCTGGACACCCTTTGATTTCTTCGATACTGAGACACTTTATGCCTCTTTGGGGTTTGCCACAGAAATTGCAGCTGGTGTTGGACCTTTTAGAAACGCTTGATGGCTGGATTGATGAGATTCCGCTGGAAACACTACCACAGCGCTTTGGGAACAAAGCGTTCAAAGTGTTCGAATCGCGACTGGTCAAGGTGAGCTCACGTAGTACGGACAAGACGCTTATGGCTTAGTGGCTAACAAACGATGGCACAACAATACTACGTGCTACTCGACAGGACAGTCCAGACTGATACATTACAATGTTCGTCGTTTACGTATTCTCTTATATATATATATATATATATATATATATATATATATATATCATCACCATTAGCGTGCATGGCAAGTCTTTGGCCGTTGTGCGTGTAGAGAGATGGGCTCACACCACACGACAGATACATAAGCCAACCCACCCCTCGCCAGTCGAGTGCGTACCCTCCTATACGAGCAGTATGCATCCAGACCGCGGCTCTATTTTGTTTCAGACTGCAATGTCGGCCTCTCCGGTGCCTGTGCTCTCGCGAATGGTTGATCGGTTAGGGGTGCTATGGTGATCTATCACATCCTCCTCCTCCCATCTATTAGATGCAAAAGACGGTCACAGGAACACGCCTCGTTAAGCTACGGTGCTGCATACAACTGCTCCTTCTCACACGTATACATATTCTACCGACCAAGAACGCTGGCCACTACCCCTATTCGGAAACGATAGGACTGTGAGGCACGAGTTGTCATTACAGACACATACCTTCCACCACAAGAATACGCTTTCAATCCATTCATCCCGAGTATAAACAATTGTTTGAGCAAACCGGTGACTTCGGCGTAGGATTAAGGTAGAGCGAGACGAATGAGACAACAGTGGAAGATTTGCATTCGTCTAAGACACTCGCCCTGAAGGAAGAGCAGCGTTCTTACGTGGCACCAGAACTCACAGCTACGCATCCACATTCGTTGCCCACCCCACAGGAGGCACCTACCTTAGTACAGGAACTCCTGCAATCCTCAGGCGCACCCTGTGAGTCCACACCATACTCAGACGAAAGCGCTGTGTACCTGGCCGAAAGCTTCGGCAATGCAACACGCATTGACTACGGCACAGGTCATGAACTGACGTTTGTGTCGTTCATGTGCTCGTTGGTATTACTCGGAGCGGTGCCACAGAGTGACGCTAAGGGCTACGTGCTGCATGTCTTCAACAGGTGGGAGATGTAGCCGAGATGTGTGCGTGTGTTGTGTCTGATGGATATCTGATGTACTCCATTGGTGGTCAGAATGCGGTGTCTGTGGCGTGTGCTCTTGTGGGTGGTATTCAGATTTTAGATCGTGGTTCTCTAGGTGTGCACTATATCTTCTATGAATGACTGGATTGCTTGCTGAGTGCTGTTGTATATATTGTGAGAGTGTGTATGACACAATATCAGTTAGCGCGCAGTGCATCCAAGGTCTATCCAGCACTTGATCGTGGCTAACGTGTTGGGTAGTCTTCACATAGTTATGGTTCATGTGCAGTTACGTGTACATGAT